AAAAAAAAAAAAAAACAAGAAAAGAAGTCTTTCAGTTCGAGAAAAAATCCATTCTTCGTATCTCTCTCTCTCTCTCTCTCTCTCTCATACTCTCTGTCTCTCAAGGAACAGTCTCCGCGAAAATTCGAAGATTCACTCTCATAGGCACAAAGTGTCGACCTAATCTACACGCCCTCGTTTCGCTGCAACAACGACGCGGTATAAGAAACACTCGAATTTACTTTGAATTTAGAAACGACAACGCAACGATTCCTTTGTGGAGGAAATGGTTCCCGCTCGTTTTGCAGAAACGAACGAGTGAACGAAGTGGCTCGCAGAGTAAATTGGGCGATCGAGCAACGAAAATCGGGCATTTTCACGTCTCGAAAGTGCCGATTTCGAAGAACGTGGTCTCTCTTTCTCTCTCGAATTGAAGGAACGTAGAAACCGAGAAGGAGAGAGAGAGAAAGAGAAGAAAAAGGAAGAATGAACGAAAATTAATAACGATATTGTCAGTAATCGCGTACAGGTCTCGCCTGATGGTCTCATCAATTTCGTCGATTATATCGTGACATTGCCTTCGGCTCTTCTCTCACCTTCTGTCCTCATTTTGTTCCTCGAACAAAATGACGAGACGACCTTGAGAATTATTATTACTGGCGCACAAAGTTTTCGCTTTTCATCGGTGCTCGTTCTTTGTTAGCATTTTGCCCACGCGAAAAAGTTGTACTGCTTTCGTTTAAAATTCAGAATTTGCAACATTCGTTTGGAAAACGTTGATTAAAACCTTGATCGCGTAACGTTGATTTGTATGTATTGTATTGTTGACGACATAAGACATAAAATGAAAATCTTTGCAATAATCGATAATTTTGCAAGCTGTCTTACTTTGTTTAGGTGAAATTGTATTATTTATTATTTTATTATGTTATGTTCAAGTGAAAGTGTATCATTTGTTATTTCATTGTGTTATTTTCAAGTGAAAGTGTATCGTTATTTTATTATTTTTGTGAAATTGTATTATTTGTTATTTTATTATTTTTGTGAAATTGTATTATTTGTTATTTTATTATTTTTGTGAAATTGTATTATTTGTTATTTTATTATTTTTGTGAAATTGTATTATTTGTTATTTTATTATTTTTGTGAAATTGTATTATTTGTTATTTTATTATTTTTGTGAAATTGTATTATTTGTTATTTTATTATTTTTGTGAAATTGTATTATTTATCATTTTATTATTTTCAAGTGAGATTGTATTATTTATTATTTTATTATTTTCAAGTGAAATTGTATTATTTATCGTTTTATTGTGTTATTTTCAAGTGAAAGTGTATTATTTGTTATTTTATTGTGTTATTTTCAAGTGAAAGTGTATTATTTGTTATTTTATTGTTTTCGTGAAATTGTGTTATTTCATTATATTATTCTCAAGTGAAATTGTATTATATTATTTATTATTTCATTGTATTTTATTTTCAAGTGGAATTGTATCAAAAAAATCTGATTAAAATAGTCGTTCAATTTATGAAAACATTAATTAAAATAACATAATCTTGATTTCTATAATTCAATAATATTCTGCAAGATGTCTTATCATTTTGTCCACTAGTATAGTTTCGTCTCTTCGAGCTTCCCTCTCGCTTCCGTTCCTTCCCTCTGAGAACGCCGATCGTTACGTAGATTTCCACACAAGATTCAAGAAGAAACGGAGAAAACGTTGCGAAAGTTGAGAAAAATTCAGAAAATAACACCGGGACGTGACAACTGAAGGAAACGTCGTGATTAGGTATACCGAAAGAAAAAAAACAAAAAAAAAAATGCAACCTTTCGCAAATTCTCGTTCGAACTGCTCGCTCGACTGGGAGAAGGCCGCTGCTCGAAGGCCGTGAGAATTTTCGTGTGCACGCGAACGTGCGGTATGTATATGTCGTCGATCGTGTAACGTAGCACGATCACTATGTACAACGTAAGTTTACAAACAATGTCACCCGTGGAGACGCGATCGAGCTGTGCCCGATCCCTTTACGTACATACAAGTTGTCCCAATCTTTCACCGTCGTTTTCCGCACCAACGACTTGCCACAATGGGGAACCATAATGGCCGTTTCGCTCGGGAAGGTCAAAGAGACGTGCCGAAGGTCGAAGAAGGTCACCGTTACAGCGAACGACGCGCGTCCCGACGAGAAAAAAATAAGTATCTGAGAGTACAGAGCGCACGCGCGATGGACAGAGAGACAGACTCCTGTTGCCAGAACGTCACGCCAATTACTGTAACCGTGGCCTGAATGGATCTGGCCAACTCTTTACACCGATAAACTATGGTTCCACGGTGGAAACGGCGGTCTCGATTTTCATAGGGTAAGAATCAGTCGGGGGAACGATCTCAGGAACTTTCACGGTCGCCTTCAGTTCAGTCCGAGATTGGTTCGTTTTCGTAAGATTCACGCGAATCTGGTACGAACCAGCGCGGGTCGCGTCTCAGTCGAGGAGGGAAAGACGTGAGTTCTCGCCGGCGGTTAGGCGAGGCTCGCTTCCCTCAGGGGTCGGTTGAAGTACCAGGAGACGACCAAGAGGAAGAGGACGTTACGAAGGTGGTCGACGCGACGGTAGTTGTCGTCGGCGCCGCAGACGTGGTGCCCGCTCCGCCAGGCGTGAACCTCTTCCGAGCTAGTGGCACCGTCGAGTTCCTCCTCGCCGCCGCCGCCGCCGCCGCCGCCGCCGTCGCTGCTGACCCCTTCTTCTTTCTTTTCTTCCCATCTGTCAAATTGGGCTTTTTACTTTGACTCATGCTGCCAGCAGCGTTTGCTTTTTTCGCTGGTTTACTTGACGCTGATGTTTTTCTCTCACCGTTGGTACTCGCCGCCACGACGCTCCTGCCGTCCCCGGTGACGTTTCCGGCCACGGTTACGTTCCTGTCTCCGCCACTTCCTCCTTCTCTCTCCTCTTTCTTCGCCTGTTCGACCCGCAGCTTCCGTTTCTTCGATGGAACCGAGAGCGCCTCCCTTCGGCAAGCCTCGTCGCTCGCTGCACCCTCGCAGGACCTCTTCGTCTCTAACCGAGTGCCGTTCGAGGCCAGGCCATCGTTTCTAGACGGGACCGTCGCCCCCGTCGCGTTCTCGTCCGTCGTTTGACACTGCGGGCCCGGCTTCTCCCCCGGCCTGCACCTCCGCTTCCTCTTCTTCCTCTTCTTTCGCTTGCGACACCTGAACTTGTCTCTGCCGTCCTTCTCCTGCACCGGGAGGCTCGGGCACAGCGACTGCTGGATCAGGTCGCCGCGGTGGCTGTTGTGCCGGTGGCGGACGTTGTGCTGCGCCCCCAGCAGCCGTCTCTGCAACGCCTCCACCCGCTCCGACGGGGCGACCTGCGTCAGCACCCGCGCGTAAGCGGACAGCCTGCCCAAGTTGTGACCCTTGGCCTGCACCCTCCTCGGCTGGCCCCGGCGATTCAAACCGAGGTACAACGTCTTCCTCGCCGTCGACCACTTCGCCGAGCTGTACGTGTTGTAATTGTGCTGCTCCAGCGTCTCGTTGAACACGCAGTCGTCCGTGTACTCGCGCTGAAACACAACACGAGAGAGGGCTAGGTCAGTCCCACGTTCCTTTTAGAATTCATTCGATTTTATTTCACGCAACGTGAAACGTTCTTCGTTCGAATACCAAACCGCGCCCGACGTGTGTGTATGTTTATCTCGGCTTTGAAACGAACGAATTGCCATTTACTTGGAAAACTGAAAATTTCAATGACAAGTCGTTTTTCCTTTATATTGAGAAAATACTGCTACGTATTTTATAATATGGTATTATATATATATATATATATATAATATGGTATAAACGGTATAATGTGGTTTAATATGGCATAGTATGGTACACTTTTTTATAATATGGTAAATATGGTCTACAATGTTGTAATATGGTGTAGTAAGATAGAGTATGGTATACTTTTTTTATAATATAATTAATATAGTATAATATGTATAATATATAATAGGCTATAATGTGGTATAAACGGTATAATGTGGTTTAATATGGCATAGTATGGTACACGTTTTTATAATATGGTAAATATGGTCTACAATGTTGTAATATGGTGTAGTAAGATAGAGTATGGTATACTTTTTTATAATATAATTAATATAGTATAATATGTATAATATATAATAGGCTATAATGTGGTATAAACGGTATAATGTGGTTTAATATGGCATAGTATGGCATACTTTTTTATAATATAGTTAATATGGTAAATATGGCCTACAGTGTTGCAAGATATGGTGTAGTAAGATAGAGTATGGTATACTCTTTTATAATATAATTAATATGGTATAATATATATAATATATAATATAGTATAATATGGTATAAATGTAATGAGGTATAATATGGTATAGTATGATATATTTTTTTATAATATAGTTAATTTGAGAAATATAGCGTACAATGTTATAATATGATGTAGTAAGATAGAGCGTGATATACTATAGTGTAATAGGCTATAATGTGGTATAAACGGTATAATGTGGTTTAATATGGCATAGTATGGTATACTTTTTTATAATATTGGTAATATGGTAAATATGGCCTACAGTGTTGCAATATGGTGTAGTAGAGATAGAGTATGGTATACTTTTTTATAATATATGGAATAATATAATTAATATGGTATAATATATATAATATATAATATGGTATAAACGATGTAATGTGGTATAATATGGTAGTATGATATACTTTTTTATAATATAGTTAATATGGTAAATATAGCGTACAATGTTATAATATGGTGTAGTAAGTTAGAGTGTGGTATAAATAATAGGCTATAATGTGGTATAAACAGTACAGTGTGGTATAATATGGTATAGTATGGCATACTTTTTCATAATATGATTAATATGGTAAATATGGCGTACAACGTTGCAATATGATGTGATAAGATAGAGTATGGTGCAATAGAACATAATATGTTATAATAATGTGTAAAATGTGATTTTTGATTTAGATGTTCCCCATGTATAACACAATGTACCACTTTTCACAAACTCAGTTGATTATTTTCCAATATACACCATATATTCATTATCATCACATTGTCATTGGAAGCCTCTGCTTCTGCTTCTCCCCTCCTCGTGCAACAATTCTTTTTCGATCATCCGCGAATCGAGGCGAAATATTAACGACGCTCCCCGATGGATGGTGAATCAGCGTTGCGCGCAACGCCGGTACCAGCAGTCAAAGAGGCACACACACCGAGCATTACGCCGCGCTGTGATTTCGTTGTCCGCTTTACGGCAACTCGTTCCCGGACGAGCGGAAGCCGCCCTGCTCTTCATCGTCTCTAATTACAGCGTTTATCCGCTCCTGTTCCCGCAAGAAAAATCCGCGGCCAGTTACGTCGGCCGGCGTAGAGAATGCCTATCAACGCAACGAAAAACCGATCGCTTCGCGTCGCTGGGCGTCGAAAACTTGCCCTTCCCCCTCTTTTTTAATTCACCATTTTCGAAACGCACACAATACCGTACGAATACGAATTTCTTTTTCCTTTCTCTTCCTCTTTTTTTCAGTTCTTTTCATCTCCGTCGTGGGTGTTTTTATTTCTTTCGACCTATTTATGTTAGTTTCCTACACTCCACGTGTAGAGGACATATGAAGGTCATTGACGTTTCTTTAAATGGAATGATATATTTTTTTATTGCATCAGTTGATGTTCTTTACAAAAATTTATCAACCTATTTATGTTAAACGATCATTAGTTTGGGAGATATTTTAATTTTAACGCTGTTGGGAAATAAGGTGCACGCTGAGCCTCCCGACTACAATGGCCAATATGAGAGATCGTGCCATCACACTGTGAGTGTGATAAAATAACACCAGATACATCGCACAATGCGAGTGAATTATTAATCTGTCGGTTTGGAAAATGTCGTCACATTGAACCTTTTCTGTAAATAAGTCCTAAACAAACGATTTAAGTCCCAAATATCTCCCAAACTAATGATTTTTTTTTAACATAAATAGGTTAATACTTTTTTTGCAAAGAATATCAAGGTGCATATATACAGAGTGGGTTTCATAACTTGTGGAACCCACTTTGGGATTTCCATTATATATATAATATATTATATATATATATAGTATAAATTATTATATAAGTTATATAAAATTTTAATTTTATTTTTAAATATAGGTAGGTATATAAATAATTAATATATTACATATATAATATATTATATATATATATATATAGTATAAATTATTATATAAGTTATATAAAATTTTAATTTTATTTTTAAATGCAGGTAGGTATATAAATAATTAATATATATTATATATATAATATTACATATATAACATATTATATAAGAGCTGATTGTACGCCTAAAAATAATGAAAAAAAGTCACATTGAACCTTTTCTGTAAACAAGTCCTAAACAAATGATTTAAGTCCTAAATATCTCCTAAACTAATGATTTTTTTTAACATAAATAGGTTACACCAGGAACGAATAGGGCAAAAAAGGTGAATGTGATCTCCAAAGCGATCAGTTTGATGTGCAAAACCTGTAAAATTAGCTAGCAAACACCCGATGCTATCTTCTGCTTTTTGGATCACTCTTTGATACGTCTCGGCGCTAATCGGTGTGGTGTCCAGCGAGTTTAATTGCTTGTTGAGACGAGCCTGGCCGGGGCGAAACCTGGCTGGAGAACACCTCGAAGGCGTGGCTCGTCGAATGTAAATAGCGGCTAATAACGACAGGGACACATCGTCGCTGGCACCCAGAAAATTTGATATCTGTCGTGGGAAATCGTAGGGAATTCACCTAAACTGAAAGTCCCACGACGAGTTTCGTAGGATCATCGGGTAAGACTGGGTGCCGGGGAAGTCAATTGACACCTTCACGTTATTGAGTCGTAACATTGGTGCGAACATTGGTGAGGTTCAACGGCTGTAACATTTCCAAGTGGTAACGTCGTAAAAACAGCCTGCTTTCGAGATGCATCGGGTGAGCCGCCTGACAATGAAAGATGCTGAAGCAAACACTTTTAAAACGATCGATTATGTCCGAAAATGTTTTCAACGGAATTTGAACAACTTTTTTAGGCAAACGTTGATCATATTATAATTGTCTAACATCGTGTTAGATGCAGAGCATCCGAAACATCGTGCGTAATTCGTGTTCTTTCATTTTCGAATCGGAGAATTGAAATGTAAGTGTGAAATTCGAATTCTTCCTTTCCTTCTTCTTTTTTTTTTTTTTCATAATTCGTACCACGAGCGTGGATAATTCGACCTTTTTTTCTTAGATTTTGAGATGTAATTGTCACTTTTTATCATAATCGTGTCAATTGATATCTCGATCGAAAGTTCGATACTTTTTTTGTAAGAAATGACGAGCTGATTCGACTAGTGTATCAAAAAATATGTGATTCTACTTGAAAAAGAAAAAAAAAGAAAAAAAAACCTTTAAACGTCTATTTTATACATTCACATTAAAAAAAAATGATGATTATATCGATTGACATCTCTCGAAACCAAAGATGTTCTGTCTAAAATATTTTCCGATACGATTAATCGGCTAATTCGAGTCTCAGGTGACTCACCCGGTGTATACGAAATAAAAGGCGCAGACACGTTCAAGCCAGCCTGCCAGTTAGTTACACACAGCGGCACCCGACTTGTAAATGCGCGAGACGAAAGAGAGACAAAACAACCCTCTAGCTCTAAACAAAAAGCGTCCTCCACGGCGTTTCTACCGGCGAGTGGGAATACGATTTTCATCCGAGAGGAACCGATCGATCAGTCGCTCGATCGGTGTACGCTTTCCGCGAAGCTAAAAAGCAAAAGTTCCCGTCGTTATAAAAATGTGCCCTCCCATCGCAATCGAGTGGGAACGCCGCGGTTCTCCCGACGATGCAAATTTGTACAGGGGAACAGGTTTACAGAGCGTGTAATTAGAAAAAAGGATACACGCGAGATACGTAATCGTCTTGGGACGAGACGTAATAACAGCAAGTTTAGAAATTATATTGTGGTTCGCTTACTGACAGGCGACCAGAATCGTCAATTATCTGCAAGCGCGTTTCGTTTGTCCTGTTCCCCTTGGCTACGTGTCCATTGAAGGCTTTCACGTTGGAAGTGGATGTCGAAGTGACCAATTTAGGTTAGGTTTCGGAGATACAAAGTGGCGTATTCTTAGAGATTAGTTACATTTTTGTTAGGTTAGGTTTTCCAGATATAAAATAGACAGAGAGTTAAATATAATATATATTTTACATTTTTGTTAGGTTAGGTTTTGTAATTACAAAATGGTCTATAGTTATAAAATGGCGTATCTTTAGAGATTAGTTACATTTTTGTTAGATTAGGTTTTGTAGTTGCAAAATGGTTTATAGTTATGTAGTTTATAAAGTGGCGTATTTTTAGAGATTAGTCACTTTTTTGTTAGGTTAGGTTTTGTAGTTGCAAAATGGTTTATAATTATAAAATGGCGTATTTTTAGAGATTAGTCACATTTTTGTTAGGTTAGTTTTTGTAGTTGCAAAATGGTTTATAGTTATAAAATGGCGTATTCTTAGAGATTAGTCACATTTTTGTTAGGTTAGGTTTTGTAGTTGCAAAATGTTATTTATAGTTATAAAATGGCGTATTCTTAGAGATTAGTTACATTTTTGTTGGGTTAGGTTTTCCAGATATAAAATGGTTAGAGATTCAAATATAATACATTTTACATTTTTGTTAGGTTAGGTTTTGTAGTTGCAAAATGTTATTTATAGTTATAAAATGGCGTATTCTTAGAGATTAGTTACATTTTTGTTGGGTTAGGTTTTCCAGATATAAAATGGTTAGAGATTCAAATATAATACATTTTACATTTTTGTTAGGTTAGGTTTTGTAGTTGCAAAATGTTATTTATAGTTATAAAATGGCGTATTCTTAGAGATTAGTTACATTTTTGTTAGGATAGGTTTTCCAGATATAAAATAGACAGAGAGTTAAATATAATACATTTTACATTTTTGTTAGGTTAGATTTTGTAGTTGCAAAATGTTATTTATAGTTATAAAATGGCGTATTCTTAGAGATTAGTTACATTTTTGTTGGGTTATGTTTTCCAGATATAAAATGGTTAGAGATTCAAATATAATATATTTTACATTTTTGTTGGGTTAGGGTTTTGTAGTTATAATAAGAGATTTAAATATAATATAGTTACATTTTTGTTAGGTTAGATTTTGTAGATATAAAATAGTTTAGAGATTTAAACATAGTATATTTTTCAGAGATTTGCAAATAAAAGCTTGCAAATAAAAGCACACTCCATTCTGTTATAAAGTTCCTTTATATCTCTTTTACTTTTTATAGTAATACAAAATATAATAAAATTTCTTTTATTTCAGGGGATCGCGTATCTTCGAACGATTGCAAAATAAGAAATATTCAAGAGTTCTTCTTTAGAGATAAAACTACGTTTCAAAATTACAAAAAGTAACATGTCTCGTCAAAGTTATCGTTGTTCAATTAATGATGCGACAATATCAATAATTTCCATCCAGTGATATCATACCGACACGAGATTCAATAGGACAAAGAAAGCGACGAATTTACTGTATACGGGCACGGTCGCTCGTTATGGTCCGCGCAACCAGTTTGCCAGCGAAAGGCGGGGTCAAAAAATCGTGACGTCGCGTTTCCACTTCCGCCAACCGGAGTCATTCCCTTCGAAGCTTGGGGGAAAAAACGCGCGAAACACATCGCAAAACGATGAAAGCACGTCGCTGACAATGAATTTCGTTAACGCGGCGTGATTTATCGCTCGATTCGTCGCCTCGTTAATTCAACGGTGCCGAGCCTCCGCCAGTGGCGCGGTGAAAGAGGAAAAGAAAAAGGACGAAAACGCAACGCTTGAACGTCTGCGGCGTATCCTCGTTTATGGCAGCGATAAATGTGGAATACCGCGAAACAGTAATTTCATTGAGCTGCGCGTGTGCATCATCGGCCGTTATTACAGAAACGATCGCATTGACCCTCGAATAATGCAATTTATCTCTCGCGCCGGATACAGATCCCACGAGAATCCAACCAGAGGATGGTATCCTCCCCCTCCCCCTCCCCGCAACACCAGAAATAGCCGCGATTTATGCACTTTTCTCAAGGGGAGAAAACATATTTGCTCTTCTCTACTGTCTACCGCCATTGATTAACACGCTCGCTCTCGCTGAATCAACTTCTGAGACTTCCTTTCGTTCGGTTTTACAGATTCTTTTATTCTCGAACGAAAATCAGCGTAATAAATATTTATCGAGTTTCGAGATTCTCGAGTGTTTCGAACAGATGGTCGAGTACGTGTAACAACAACAACAATAGTAGTAATAATTATTATTATTATTATCGATGATGACGATAATAACTGGTGAATGATCAGAGAATGACGACGCAGAAACGTGAAAAAAAAAAGAGGGAAAATAAATCGACAATTTGGAAATCGATTATCCGTTCGACGTTCGCAGAAATTGTCGTGGCAGTTTTACGTTGCTCGGGGAAACATTTCTTGCCGTGTGATTCTGTGTAACTTTCTTTTCTCCTCGCTCGTGTACGTTTTTCTTCTTCTTCTTCTTCTTCTTCTTCTGACGAAGCTATAATTATTTCCTGCGCGAAAGTGCGAAATGCTTAGTTACCGATCCTTGTATATTTAAAGCGAGTAAAGTAATTTCCAAGTAAGTAAAAGGTAATCTTTAAGTTACATGGTAGTTTCGAAAGAAACGCGCAATTTCCGAGACTTCGCGAGAGCACTTTGCCGTTTAGTAGAAAAAAAAAAAAAATAAATAAATAAATAAATAAAAGAGATTGAAACAGTTTCGCTCGACGGACAAAAATTTCAAACAATCTATCTAGTTATTGGCCTTTGAGATATTGCTCGTTCGCGTTTTTTTTCCTTTGCTGGCGAGTGTCTTGGATTAGCTGCGATAAACAGAAACGTTCGAAAATGGTAAATGGTACAGGACGTGTGCGATGTTCTATAGGAATTTTATAATGTTTTTTTTAACGTTATAATAGTATAATTTTAAGAGAGGAAGTCAACTGCGGAAATGAAGTTTATTTGTTAAAAGTATGCTCGTTGTATTTTAAATACGCTCTGATGTTAAAGCATTAGCAAATCCTTTTTTTGGCCACAGGCACAAGTATGAAAAAACTTGAAAGCAGAAAAAGTACTACAGATAAAATTACAAAACTTCAACAAACCTAACAAAAAATATATATATATATACACACTCTCACGAAGAAATAACGAAACTTAGATGAGAACGCAAACATTTGAAACAGAAATGGCAATATAAAATATGAAATCACACAACTTTGGTAGCGAATGGGTCACAAAAAGTGAGCAAAAGATGCGATCAATTGTTTTCATCAAACCTAACCTAAATTTTTCATTTATGACTACTCTTATGAACTCCTATTCATCTCATATATCATCAAAAAAGTTTGTTTCGATTTTTAATTTTCTTAGGTTAGTTCGTTTCTTTTTCTAATTTTTCTTTTTTTTTTCTTTATTAGTTTGTTTCTTTTCTTAATTTTCTTAAGTTGGTTCGTTTTTTTTCCGATTTTTCCTTTTTTTCTTTATTGGTTTGTTTCTTTTCTTAATTTTCTTAGGTTAGTTTATTTCTTTTTCCAATTTTTCTTTTTTTTCTTTGTTAATTTGTTCCTTTTTTAAATTTTTTTAGGTTAATTTGTTTCGTTTTCTAATTTTTCTTTTTTTTCTTTATTAGTTTGTTTCTTTTCTTAATTTTCTTAGGTTAGTTCGTTTCTTTTCCGATTTTTCTTTTTTTTCTTTATTGGTTTGTTTCTTTTCTTAATTTTCTTAGGTTAGTTTATTTCTTTTTCCAATTTTTTCTTTTTTTTCTTTGTTAGTTTGTTCCTTTTTTTAATTTTCTTAGGTTAGTTCGTTTCCTTTTCCAATTTTTCTTTTCTTTGTTAGTTTGTTTCCTTTTTTAATTTTCTTAGCTAGACCAAACAATCAAAATCAAACGACTCGAATTAACCTAATGACATTTCATATCAAAACTCTGTAACTTTGTTTCTAACTCTTTCTTACGTTGTCTTTCGCCATTAAACATTATTTTCGCGTACCGCAGGTTGGGAACCGCTGGTCCAAGTGACCAATCAGCCATCAGTTAGTTTCATAAAGTTTTAAAAGTCAATTGTATCAATTTTGTGGTATGCTCTGGTATTCCATTGCACGTGACAATAGAAAATAAAAAAGGGAATAAGGAAAGTGTTCTACTCCACTTTCGAGCGGCCCATCAATTGAACTCTGTTACAGCAGATTTTCCTCGTAGACTATTTCGATAAATGTGGAAGAGCACGCGATGTGCGCTTCATTGAAAGTCACGCGTTGCGTGGCGATTATTCAGTAGAATTCCAAAGGAGGGGGGAGGGGGGGGAAGAGAATGCGATGCCTAAACAAATCTTTGTGTTTTTTCCGGCAAGATTTATGACTACAACGAAACGAGGGGCCTCTTTCGTTGTCGACAGCTCGAATGAAGAACGAACCAGCGAAATTATTGAAAGTATACTACTCACCATCTTGACTGTAGATAAAGATATTAACTTTGGTCTCCCCATTTGAAATCAGAGACCGTAATTATTAATATAACCAGAATAAAAAGAATTATGATCAATTTTTTCTTTTTTTTTTTATTAGAATGTTTTTACAAAAGTGTTTCTGTTGTTCAATTTCGTCGAGAAAAATTTATTTCTGCTATTTGTAGCAGTAATCGGTAAAGTTGTTTGCAATAGTTACCGACGAGGGAAATTTATTTCGACCCCTTCCTCTTTGTTAATTTTCGTGATTTATGTTAGAAAGTAACTTTATGGTTTGGAGAGATCGAGACGTCAACAAATGGAACGTCATCACGAAATGAAGTTTTGTATAACAATTACATACTAAGAAACTACTATATTACGTCATTAATTTGTGTTAAATATTCCTTGAATATTCAACATTCGGTAGATTTCTAGTTTAACAGCTGTTTCTCAATTTACAGCCTGTTTTAATTTTCGAAATATGATTTTCTTTTCTTTTTTTTTTTTTCTTTTTTTAAAGACAGTAACAAAAACTGTATAACTGATTTCTCGTTTCAGTGATAAAATAAACCTGTAACAAAGCCAGCCAAACTCGAGAAACACTCGCTAGAAATTTACCCAGTACTCAAATCGGATTGTTGCTCGAAGAAAATCGGATTTTTGGATCTCGGTATGCGCGGCATGTTAAAAAAAAAAAAAAAGAAAAAGTCCACGCGTGTTCAGAGATTTTCAGCTGAAAAAAAAATATATCACGCGTTATATCGAGCTAAGAGAGAGAAATTACTATGATCGCGAGTGACATTGCGCGCTCGTTTACGTCGCTGAGTGATCCAAGAGTACACGTTACCATTTCGTAAAACGTTCCTCCGTCTGAACGAGCAACGCTTTCAGGCTCGAAGCGCGAAAATCTATTCAGTACGCTTAAGGTAATAACACGGTGAGGGTCGATAAGTTCGATCCTCTCAGTACCATTTACCACTGCAAATTACGGTCGATGATGTAATTTCATATAATTTCCCTTTCCTGCGCCAAACAGACACGTACTGTACTTTTCTATAAACAGAAATATATGTTTATGTACGTAATGTATTATACAGGGTGTTCCAATAACTTTGTCCACTTTAAATATGTATCTCCATTACTTTTTTTTTTTTTTTGAAGATACTTGGAAATTTCATCAAAGAAAGTTATTTGGATATCTGTAATGATTGTTTTGTAGATGGATTTCAAGGTCATTTTCGAAATCCCTCGAGTTGTAATATTGAGTTACACTCGTGGCAGGAATTATTAGGTTTCGACTTGAAAGAGAAAGCAAATCGTGAATACATGGAATACGTATTTTCTCGAATTTTTTATTTCGATACAGAAGCTTGATAAATATTGAAATTAATCAATGATTTATCAATAATTGAATTAAAAATTTAATTTCACCTTTGAACGTTCTTCTTCTAATTCTTTCAATTCATAGATAGCTGTTACTAACTGATTGTTGGTTAACTAAGTAAACTTATTTGATAAGTTCATTTTGATTTTATTTAAAATAAAAATCAATTTCTAATATAATAATTCTTTTAAGATTAATATTTTTTTATTATATTTATAGATATACACATCAGGATTGTCATTTTGCTCAATAATTGTTAGTTTTGTTAAATTGCCAAATTTTAAGTCTTCATAACAATTTTCCAAAAAAAAAGAAAACCTTACTGTTGCAGATAGTCTCTCCTCTATACTAACTGTATTTCGTTTTCCAATCCTTGGGCGAATTTTACTCAAAAGAGGCGAATTTTAATAAAAAGCAGAGTCATTCGTATACAGACAATTGCCATAATCACTAGATAAAGTTTTCCGTTTTATATACACTTTTAATAACGCGGAATTGGATATATCTGATTAACCATCATTTTAGCATTTAACTCCTTAGCTTTCACAGTTAACCCTCTCGCATGACGGTGGCTGGGTCTGCGGTGACCCGTTTCCTACTTTGTGTGTGAGTCATATAAAGTTAGCCTGTAAGACTACGATTTGGCGATAAAAAATGGGATCATATTACGTTTATAATAAGAAGTCAAATCGGCGATGAACGCGCGTACGAGTCAGTTCTGAAGAAGCAGTCATAGTAAATGATCGGAAGTGCATTGTTTTCAGTATTTTTCATTAGTAGTGTTCTTTAGTTTTGTAATATTTTTCATTTTTTGTATTCTTTAGGTTTTTTAGTATTTTTCATTTTTTTGTATTTTTCAGTCTCTTAGTGCTTTCCATTTTTTAAAACTTGAAACTTCCAAACTCGAAACGATCGAGATGTTTTATTTGCACAGGCAATGACAACAAATATAGCGCTAAACGCAGCAATTGTCACAATTTTGTTTGTAGCAGACATAAATGCAATCTAACGTATTAGATACAACGAGAATAAATAATATTATTTATAGGGTAATAAAAGTAGCAAAAGGTGTTTCTATTTCCTACTATCCTATTGTTATAACAGTCATAATAAAAATACAAAAAAGAAATAAAATGGAATATCAGCTATCAACGACTACATATAGGCGTACATCGTTCCACTGGAACGTGTGAATGTATGTATATATGTAGTCAGTAGCTTGGGTCTCGCGAGACCCGGCCACCGGCCAGTACGGCCCGTCATGCGAGGGTTAATATCATTGACGGAGCTGGAAGATGACCCATTTTGAATATTTTGAACGATGACACGAAAAATTAAAGAATCGACAAGATTGATACATGCGTCGTTGTTTCAACGTATGTGGAACGAAAAAAGATAACAGATTCTCAAAAAAAAAAAAAAAAAAAAAAAAACAGTGTAACCAGGGTAATTACGAGGAAAAAAAAAAAAAAAGAAAGAGTCTAGACGAGCAGAGTATCTCCGGGGAGCGAGACACATTGTCAGTAGATTCAATTACAGGTAGTTGAATGCAATTTGAAGAACGCGCGCCTCGTTGGAAAGAGGATCCAACGCAAAAGTGGGAGGAGAGGGGAGGGGAGAGAAGGGGGAGGGTGTGCTTCGACAAACGCAAAAACGGCCGCTGATAACCGATCTTTTACAAGTAATTCCAGTCACTTAAAGCGGGACAACAGCACGCAATATCCATCCCCACTCCGTTGAGTACATAGCAACAGGCGCAAGCATGCGCTGTTGCTGCGAGAACTTTTAAACCGGCCAATCACGTAACTTTGTAACGAGCCTTTTCCTCTGGGCACACGAGCCCAGCACGCTGCATGCAAGGCGGTGGTAACTGGCAAAAGTCAAATCGCGCGTTTACGTGCGATTTATCGGTATCGGGGCCCCGTCGAGTCGTAAGATTTTAAAGCAACGGCGATTACTGTTATACACAGATCCGGCCGTTGTTTCAACGAAGCGAATGCATTGGCATGGGAAACGCTGGCCACCAGACGCCGGCTGTATTAAACCGGAAATTCCAGCGTTTTCCCTTCGACAAGCTTCGAACCTTCATTTCCTCTTTCTGTCGTCATTTTTTTTTTTTTTTCTCTCTTTCTTTCGATCAGGTGTATTAATTGCTCGACGATTATTAATCCTTGGACTATGATAGATAGATAAATTAGGTAGATATACGCTCGCTCGTTGTTCCTGTCAAAATTGACTCTTTGATTAAAACTGGATTTTTTAGTTTTATTTCCATTGGGATCTCGTTTTGCAAGTAATAATTCAGCTTCTAATCTTTCATCTTTTCATCTTAATCATTTCTTCGGTACTGAATCGCCGTGTACTTTGATTAAGATCCGAGTCGTGGTGAAAATTTTGTATCTGGCGTGATTGTGAACGAGCAGCGTTGAGTGCATTATTCGGAATAAAGAATATTGGAAATGATAATCGAAATCGAGTGTTATTTGAAAATTTGTTTCATTTGACAGTGTATAATACACAAATGTATTTGAAATTACTTCTTTCAGACATACGAGTTATTTAATTGAGATAATAATTGTTCAAGATTGTTTAAAACTGTTTTAAAATAATGCGTAACTTGTGTTTATAATTTAGAGAGAAATTAACTAAAAAAAAATTTATGAAGAAAGAATACGTGTTAATTATTTTTAAATAATTATCAATGTTATTAAATTTTTTAAATACTTATCAGTATTATTAGATTTTTAAAAAATTATCAATGTTATTAAATTTTTTTAATACTTATCAATGTTATTAAATTTTTTTAAATACTTATCAATGTTATTAAATTTTCTAAATACTTATCAATGTTATTAAATTTTCCAAATACTTATCAATGTTATTAAATTTTCTAAATACTTATCAGTGTTATTAAATTTTCTAAATACTTATCAATGTTATTAAATTTTCTAAATACTTATCAATATTATTAGATTTTTTAAATACTTATCAATATTATTAAATTTTTTTAAATACCTGTCAATATTTTTAAATGCTGATTCAAGTAAAACTGGTATAAATAAGGTTAATTCTCACGCAGTAGCATAAACGTTTGGCCACCCCCTGCTCCAGAACTCCTCAACTCGAGTCGTCAACTCGATTGATCAAGTCGTCGTTAGTACGTCGGTTGTTATTTTCAAGCTCCGATTTTTCTCTCTCTCCGTTCTTTGAAATTGATTCGTCAGATTTATTACGAACGTAAGCGCCCGTTACTCGAGCAGGGAATCACGGGTAATTGAAAGTTACTCGAAATAATCTCGCCTCGAGCGTGCGTTGCAATATCCTCGGATCGAAGGAGAAATCGATAGCACCAGGCCTTGAGAGACTTCCTCCGCAGATTTAGCCGTTTGTGCCATTACCTCGCGTACCCAAGTGCGTTACTTATCTTTACGAACCACCGCGTTAATAGGCGCTGGCAAGCGGAGCTGTCTCAGCTCTCGGCTAATTTTTATCTCGACCGGCGCGCCATCAGGCGGCGGGAAAACGACTCGCGAGCCTTTTATTAATTTCCATTAATTCGCAACTCTTAATTCTCGAGGAATCAAAATCTCTCTCTCTCTCTCTTCGGAGATCTGACCAAAAGGACCAACAGATCCTTAATTCTCGAACGTCAAGAAACCACGTTCCGCGCCATCAAGTCGACCGTGAACACACGAGAAGAGTATATTTCCAGTATATATCCTCGAGTTAAATTTCACTCGTCTCTGTCTAGAGGCGCTGCGATCTCTAACTGCGCTCGGCTCATTAAGAGCCAAGTGAAATTATGTTGCACGAACGCGACGTTATTGCCGGAATTATGTGAATGGTTGCGGTTATTGTAGGAAGAACGAGCCTGCAGACTGACGAAGGTATCGCGAGATCTGTTCAAACTTTAGTATCCAATCGAATTGCACTGTGGTAAATGAAATATATCTGGAAGTGTCTAGTGGTATGTCCAAACAGTATGTCGCAGAGCGATTTATTATAAATTATAATATTATTATATTATTATAAAGTATAAATTAAGTAAAGTATTATAAATTATAATATAAAGTATAAATTAAGTAGAGTATTATAAATTATAATATAAAGTATAAATTAAGTAAAGTATTATAAATTATAATATAAAGTATGAATTAAGTAAAGTATTATAAATTATAATATAAAGTATAATATATAAATTTATTTTATAAATATATATATATATTTAAAGTATATGTATACTGTATAAATTAATATATATATTAATTTATTATTATATATAATTATTATTATTTATAATATATATGTATATATATTTAAGATAAATTTATTTTATATTTTATTAATATATAAATTATTTATTTATTATTTAATATAAAAATTATAATTGTATAATTGTCGTCCAAATTTAGAAATTTGGTCATTTCTGAAGTAAGCTATGTATACAGGTATAGTACAGTAATAGGTATAACAGTATAGTACAGTAGGTATAATACAATAGTAGGTATACTATAATAGTAGGTATAGTATAGTATAACAATATAGTAGTAGTATATAGAATATAGTACTAGATAGAATACAGTAGATGTACACACACTTTTGAAAGTGGCACCGTAGTTAAGATTTTCGTTAAAACGTAAAAACGTCAACTTAGAAACGATACTATCAACGTTCCAATTTATACAGCATCGTTCGCGCTGTTCATTATTTAAAATACACATACGTGTACGTGTGATACGTGTGTAGACGACGAAATAAAAATCTCCCTCGAATACGTATAGACGGTTCAACGCGTGCTGAAACTAATGGGCACTATACGTCTCAGAATTAATTACATGTTGCTTCTTACTGCAACACACACACATACACATACATGCAGTTCCAACAAGGCACACTAAACATCAATGGAAACGCTCGAGCACAGCGCTTGAGGATAAATCTTCGAGTGAACTAGTAAACAGGGCGAAATAATACAGAAAGTCGTAAAGTTGTCTCTCCTCTCTAGGTGTAAAACAGCGGGTTGCCATGCGCGCGAAATTACCATCTCCATTAATTGATTTCTTTTTTCTTTCTTTCTTTCTTTCTTCGTTCGAACGACAATCGTTATTCACCGTAGGTTCGACGTAAATGGCGACACGCACCTGTGTGAACGGGCCGCAAGCATGCAACGCGTGGCTCGCGGAAACGGATACACGTCACGGAAACAACGGAGATTGATCGTCGCCGGTTGTTGTTACGTAACTCGGCCAAGAAGCACGACGAAACACCCTGCAGCAAATTTTTCAGATCGTCGAGTCTATGTACAGGGTGGTCCTTTACAAACACGTGTTTTTTTAATTTTATTATTATTATTATTATTTTTTTTTTTTTTGGAAATGTAGTTGATGGATTTTTTTCAGTATTATGTATTTTCAATCTCCAAGGAATAACATAACCTACAAAAAAGAGAGAAAAAAAGAATGAGAAAGTTGTGACTTTTTTCAAACCTCTCGATTTTTTAGTGGCAACCATACCAGTGTATTATGGTACGTTATGTGAAGAATGTAATTAACAATGATGGAAAAAAATTGTGACTGTTAATCAATGATCGTTAACGGGTTTTTCTTTTTCTCGTTTGTAAAAAGATTGAAATAATTGACTAGCTTAATTCTTATTTTCGATGAGATTGAAATAAAGAGGCTGAAATTTTCTCGCTGTACGACTTTTTTAAATTTTTTCCTCACTGTTTCATCGAACTTGGAACATTAGAGATTTTTATCAAATTATCGACAATTTTTCATTGTCGTTGGTACAGTTATGTTCTCCACTGTACATCATCGAATGTGTTGAATTTATGCGAAACACGTTCACATTATATACAGGGTGTCCCAATAACTTATTACCTCGAATATCTCTGATTAAAAAAAGAATTTAAAAAAATTTTTCTTATTATTAAAATCCTTTTAATAATTGGTACATCATGTGAAATTATCTTCAAAACAAAAAAGAACGAATTTCGATACACTTCTGATTCACAATAAAGGCTACTTTTAATGAGACCAAAACGAGACCAAAACGAGTCGTTGCACGATCTCCTTTTATACCAATTGAAATTGATTATCAAACAAATTTTTCATCGTCGTCGTTTTAATTATGCTCTTCGCTGCAATAGTATTCGCAGCGACCAGAAAATCATGGCGGCGCGGGAACTCGGCGCAATGTTAATCCTTCGACAACGAAAGCACGGTGTCCTGTGCCGGAGTCATTTCTGACCCACGCGGACATTTCACTGACGCATATTTAGATTGGCTCACCGATACTGTACTAACACAGAGTGATGGTCGTTCGAGAATATATGTATATTTGAATTAATATGTCTAAGCTTCCCAAGCCCTCGTTTTCGGAATTTAGGTCGTCAACTGCACACAGTTGAAACTCGAGGACCAAAATTATCTCGTGCCTGTCGAATATTGCTCGAAAAATTTCTTCTCTTGAAGATTTTTCTGTTACAAGATACAGTGTAGAAAGAACATACGAGTCTAACGAAAATTTCAATCCGAATAGTTGCAACTTTTGTTCGATTCGAACAGGAGAAAGGCAACAAAAATTTTTTCCAAAATTAAAGTGGACTTGATGCGCGCGAGTGAGCACGAAACGAAAACAAAGAAGACAGAAGTGTATCGAAGTTCGTTGTCTCGTCTGCCGCGGGTCTGAGCGCGTATGCATCTGTACTAGCGGCAGCATTTTTAATCCTCCGTCTACTGAAGCATGGAGCACTGTACCGGAGTCATTTCTGACCCACACGGACATTCCACTAACACATATTTAGATCGTCCGAGGTCCTCACCGATATTGCACCAACACAGTGACAGATACCCGACTCATGCAGGAACATGTAGGAGCATACAGGAACAAATAATAATCACATGAATAATAATGTTATATTTATTTATATTTATACATTGACGAGAGACAATCGCTGTATCCTTGCTAACTCCAATACGTTGCCAATTACGTCCAAATTCCTGGTTTTCTGCAACTACATTATCCACAGTTTCTGATACATTGTCTTCCTGCATCTCGACTTCGAGATCTTGCATTTCGAGTTCAGCGTCACTGTTTGATAGATACACTTTCGTTGTCCGATGATTGTTCACTGTCAGGGACGTCGTGTGCATACCGAGCGAGAGAAGACAAAGAAATATTGCTCGTTGGCAATGAGGACACTGCGTCAACAAATGGAAACGACAAATAGAAACAACGGGAAAAAGTAATAAAAAGAACGAAAATAATAATTGCTTCGATTTGCCGCACACGTGTTTCCTCCTCGGAGCGTTAACCAAAAAACTGATTCCTTTGTCTTCAGTGTTCGTCACTTCGGTACCTTGGCGGGCACGTGTTAGCCACTTGGCGTTCGTGTGTTCAGTGCGATCAGGTTTCAGCTACTAACGCAAGCAGCTCCCATCATTGTGTGCGTTATAGCTCTCGACACCAGTCAAAAATGACACCGGCACAGTAGGCGGAGAGAGTTAAGAAACTCGGGAATCGCAGTTTTACACGCATGTACAATTACTATTCCACAGACGTGAAGTGAAACGTTGTTGCCACTCTCGCTGTTTAACGGTTTTAGTCTAGACGTTCGCGATTACCGTAGATTTCTCGTCCGATCGAATTTTTACTGTGCATTCAATTCTCGATATACGAACGACGTTCATATCTTAATGCACGCAACGGCTCTCTCTTCTATTTGTCTTGGCGAAGAGTCGGCTGATAGCGATTTCTCCTCGATTCCAAATGAAATTCGTTATTGTTCAGATAAGAAGTTACGTGAAGTAAGGTTAAGGTTTCTCGTCAACGTTTGATTTCCGTCCATTCGCTTGGAGTGAAAGTTCGAGACTCTCGTGAAAAGAGTTTTACTTTTACCGAGTTTTGCGTAACTGACATTTAAATGTATAATTTTTCGTAATCGTTAGGGAAACACTCGTCGCGCGGCCGATGTTATTCGAAACGTGTTTCGTCTGCTCGCGTCCCGTTGTTTTCTGTTTTTCGCGAGAAGCAATTCGCGTTTTGCGAAAAACGCGGCCCAGCGCCCAGACTACACAAAGAAGCTGGATTGCTTCGTCGCTTTCGTTTCCTTTCGTTCTTTTAACACATACAGAGTGGAAAGAAAAGTTTGTTCCTTCCATTTTAATGGAAACAACCTTGAATCTCAAGTTCAAGAAAAATTTTTTTTTTATTGTATCCTACTCGCCACGGAGACAGAACTTTTCCAAGGAACCATAGTTCTTTTAAAAAATGGTAAAAAAGTTTCTCAATCATTTTGACGTCACGGACGCGTGCGCGCTAACAGCGACTTAATGTTCTGGACGCGTGGATTTTTATCAGGCTTTCACTAACATTTATTATAGTTGTAGCATCGGTGAGTCTAAATAATCAAATGATGAAACTAACTGTTAACATTGTAATATAAACGTTACACTCACACGTCCAGAATCCATAAACGCACGGCTGTTAAAATTTATGGTTAGGTTAGGGAAATAAATTTTCGAATAACATTTTATTTCAATTACTATCTCAAATATTATTGTAAATAATAATTTTCTATTGCAGAAATACTATTATAGTCATATTAATAATATTATTAATTATAGTTATATAATATTATATTAATTATATTAATAATATTATTAATTATAGTTATATAATATTATATTAATTATATTAATAATATTATTAATTATAGTCATATAATATTATATTAATTATATTAATAATATTATTAATTATAGTCATATAATATTATATTAAGTATATTAATTATATTATTAATTATAGTTATATAATATTATAATTATATTAATATTATTAATTGTAATTAGGTAATAATATTATTATAGTATGAATAATATATTAGTTATTATAAGCTAGTTATTATAAATAACTAGTTGCTAGCTTGTAATAACTAGATATCATAAATAATATATACGAAATATTATTACAGTTATTATAAATAATAATTTCTTATATACTTTGAACAATTATTATTTCAATTAATAATCCCCATCATCCCAATCATCCCCATTGCGTATCATATCACTGTCAAGTGAAACAAACATTCGAATAACATTTTATTTCAATAAAAGTACCTACTTCAATTACTGTTGTTACCGTTTCATCTCAAATACAGCTCAGCGTCGTTGGGAAAGGAGCTCAGAGTTGGTACAAAAGGGGACGTTTTACCACCACGCGCCCCATTCCGGCCATATTTCACTTTCCAAAGAGGAAACACCAACGGAAACTCCAGTTAAAGTCGAACTACTTATTTGCATTCTCCGCGAAGCCTCGCAGACACGAGGGCCTCCCCCCACCGCGTTTGTTTCAAATTAATCACCTAAACGCGTCGCGGACCAACGAGTCCCAGACCTACCAGTCGTGGCATTCGTCGTGAGTGAAGTTGTTGCGCACGTGCCACGTAACAGTTACCCCGAACACCATCGCTATTCGCTATTCGCCGTTTCTATTCTATTCTAAGTTCCTTCGACCGGCGCGCTCACCACGCCATTTCTGTGCCACTAATAATCATCGAATAGACGATCGTTGTCTCGCAACTGTCGTTGCGGTTCTCTATCCACTGTGTCGCGTCGTTCGAGTCGTCTTTTCGAATGTAATTCGGCATTTTGAACTGGAACGGGGCGACGTTCGAGGTTATTGCCCCCCCTTTTACAATCGACCGTGTAACAAGAGAGGCAATTTTTTTGCGGAACGAAACGTGGCTTTTCTCCGCGGAGGGAAATTTTTCGGAGAACTCTTTTAATCAGAGTGATCGTGAATCTTTTTTCTTTAATATCTCTGTAATATCTCTTCGCCGATCGTGGAAATTTCTACATATCAAAAATATTAAGATGAAGATTTATTAAAATAATATTAAATAAAATACTCTGTGTATATATTATGTTTATTAAATATATTATATACACAATATATTTATTAAAATAATATTAAATAAAATACTCTATATATATATATATATTATGTTTATTAAATATAATATATACACAATATATTTATTAAAATAATATTAAATAAAATACTCTATATATATATATTATGTTTATTAAATATAATATATACACAATATATTTATTAAAATAATATTAAATAAAATACTCTGTGTATATATTATATTTATTAAACATAATATATACACAATATATTTATTAAAATAATATTAAATAAAATACTCTTTGTATATACTATATTTATTAAATATTTATTAAAATAATATTTATTAAAATAATATTAAATAAAATACTCTGTGTATTGCTCACATATTTTGCCTATTTTTCGTGCACATTTTCCACAAAACACTCTCAGTCCAATCGCAAAGCACACTAATGAAAAATATATATCGCACTCGAGAATCTTTGCGAAATTTCTCCGACAGTAGAAGTAAAATTTTACTCGGGCATTGAACGTTGCAAAAGTTTGCAAACTGACAACAATTATTTCTTAATAATAATCGTGTATCGACGACTGATGCTCAATGGTAAAAAAAAAAAAATCTCGAAGACGAGAGGATGAAGGAGATTTAGGACGACGAGGAGATGAGACGCGAGAGCTTAAAGATAGGAGTGGAATGTAGGCTGTCATCGTTTGAAATAGAAAACAGGCACTCCGTTGAAAACTGTGTGCCCTTCGTACTCTCCTGTTCTTGAACATAAATCACAAAGCAGTCGAAATATCCCCTAATTTCTCATCATTCACGTCAGTGCAGTATTTCAGTCGATACGGTGGTGCCCTCTCAAGCGTCTACACTCGGGACCAAAAGCTTAACTAACCACTCTTGCGCTGGCAACTGATTGCGGACCATAACGAGTGACCAACACCGTATTCGACAATAATTCGTCGCTTTCTTTTTGAAACTCGTCGGCACGATATCACCGCGTAGAAATTACTGAGACGTTATTTGTTTTGCCTGTGTTATATTTCAATGTAAAACTGAGGAAACATTGCAATTTTGGGACAAAAAATTCTTGACGTCATTCCGGTGGCCGGGTCTCGCGAGACCCAAGCTACTGACTATATATATATATACATACACGTTCCGGTGGAACGATGTACGATATGTAGTCGTTGGTAGCTGGTTCAATTTTATTTCTTTTTTGTATTTTTATTACGATTGTTATAACAATCGGATAGTAGGAAATAAAAACACCTTTTGCTACTTTTATTACCTATAAATAATATTATTTATTCTCGTTAGATTGCATTTATGTCTGCTACAAACAAAATTGTGACAACTGCTGCGTTTAGCGCTATATTTGTTGTCATTGTCTGCGCAAATAAAACATCTCGATCGTTTCGAGTTTGGAAGTTTCAAGTTTTTAAAAAATGGAAAGCACTGAAGAGACTGAAAAATACAAAAAAATGAAAAATACCAAAGAAACTAAAGAATACAAAAAATGAAAAATATTACAAAACTAAAGGACACTACTAATGAAAAATACTGAAAACAATGCACTTCCGACCATTTACTATGACTGCCTCTTCAGAACTGGCTCGTACGCGCGTTCGTCGCCGATTTGACTTCTTATTGGAAACGTAATCCCAACTTAATTAACTTTCTATAACTCACACGCAAAGTAGGAGTCACCGCAGACCCAGCCACCGTTATGCGAGGGTCAAGAGGCGAATTATGCTTGGCGAATCCCGCGAATTGGCGCCAAAAGAATCAATGCGCTGGCAGAGGGTAATGTTACGAAGGATCGAGTCCAACAACAAGCGTATTGGCGCGGCGATTGATTCATCGTGCAGACAACCAGCGCGCGTGCAAGACAGAGAAAAAGAGAGAGAGAGAGAGAGAGAGAGAGAGAGAGAGAGAGGGGCGTGTGGTCAACGGACCGAGCCGTAAGATTTACGGTGCCTTAATCGCGGCATGGTAATTTGTAGAATTGGAAGAGGAGGTGGAGAAGGAGGCGACAACAGCTAATCGAATTAGCGAATTAATTGCGTTATTAGACGCTACGGGGGCCAAACTGGTACCGGCAGGCACGCCAATAATCGTAAATCACCGGATTGAATCCTGTTGGGGATGCCGATTCGGCTCAGAGGCACCACGCGCCTCGTTTCCTCTTCTTCTTCTTCTTCTTCTTCTTCTTCTTCTACTTTTTTTCTTTTCCAAGCTGCTCGCTATATTAGCGAGGTGCCAAGCGTTTTTAATTAGGCTTATTAAGTCCCAAGTTTCTTTAAGCGACGTTTCTTAAGGATCGATTTTCTTTTTTTCCCCGGAGGTCCTCGAAGTCGAGATTCCTGGACACCCTGTAGAAACAGACTCGACTCGACTTGGTGGAGAAATTAGCTTGCTGGGCTTTAACATCTTGCGCTGAAATGACGTGCCAGTCTTTCCATACCAAAATTGCGATGTTCCCTTTAGGTATGTATTAAGTACGTTTAAGTATAAACCCTGAGGCGAAACAAATAACAAATTTATCGCCACTTGGTAATTTCTGTTTCAGTGATGTATTGACGAGGTCAGAAAGAAAGCGAAAGGATTGTTTGCAGTACACACGTTGGTTCGGCCACTCGTTATGGTCCGCGATCCAGTTGCCAGCGCAAGCTCGTTAATCGAGATGAATCGAGAGGAAGTACGAAGCGGAACTGCCGCTTTCAGCGAACACCACCTTTCAGCGAGACAAGATTGCAAATTTTCCGTGAATTATGCGGTGGCACGAGCGTGTTGTACGTTGCACGCGAAATAATTACGCTGTTAGACGAGGTTCTATGGTTAAACCGGGACCGCGCCGGATCGGGCGTGCGTGTATTTTCGTGTTACCATGTTAAAAGGGGCCGCCCTCGTATAAAACCACAGGGAACAGAGCGGTGTGTCTGTCGGTGTCTTTCACGCGAGAAGACACATTGCCGCGCGACTTTCAGTGGTTCTTACGTTCTTTTGGAGCTTGCGCTCTCTCGAGCATACTACTCGAGACTCGTCGTTCAGTTGCCATTAACCCATTTGCGTCGCGAGGCGAACTGCTAGCGTCCCGCCGGAGTGGATTGCAAAACGCGCGGGGCAACTCGCGAGCAGCAGCGATTAACAAGTCTTGTGTTTATTATTTAGGTGAAAGGCTGTGGAATTAATTAAGTCGAGTAACCTTTTACTAACATTGGGTTTACGATCACTTTTTATATATATATATTCATGAATTGACGCATGTTCCGCAGAAAAGATCGATTTAATTAAGTTTTAAGGAAATACGTTTCAATATGTATATATTTGTAAATTTGTGAATTTATGATATTTATATTGTATTTACATTTTTATATGTTTATGTATTACATTTACATTTCTAATTTATATTTTTATATATTTATATTGTGTTTACATTTTTATGTGTTTATGTGTTGTATTTACATTACTAATTTTTATATATTTACATTGTATTTACATTTTTATATGTTTATGTATTACATTTACATTTCTAATTTATATTTTCATATATTTATATTATATTTACATTTTTATGTGTTTATGTATTACATTTACATTTACATTTCTAATTTATATTTTCATATATTTATATTATATTTACATTTTTATGTGTTTATGTATTACATTTACATTTACATTTCTAATTTATATTTTTATATATTTATATTGTATTTACATTTTTGTGTTTATGTATTACACTTACATTTACATTTCTAATTTATATTTTTATGTATTTATATTGTATTTACATTTTTGTATGTTTATGTGTTGCATTTACATTTCTAATTTATATTTTTATATATTTATATTGTATTTACAATTTTATATGTTTATGTGTTGCATTTACATTTCTAATTTATATTTTTATGATATTTATATTGTATTTACATTTTTGTATGTTTATGTGTTGCATTTACATTTCTAATTTATATTTTTATATATTTATATTGTATTTACATTTTTGTGTATTATGTGTTGCATTTACATTACTAATTTTTATATATTTATATTGTATTTACATTTTTATATGTTTATGTGTTGCATTTACATTTCTAATTTATATTTTTATATATTTATATTGTATTTACATTTTTGTATGTTTATGTGTTGCATTTACATTTCTAATTTATATTTTTATATATTTATATCACATTTGTAGATTTATACATTTACAAATGTAATTATACTCTAATTGTACATTTACAATTATAAATTTAGTTATATTATATTATACAGTTATAAAATATTTATCATGTACTAAATATTTATCGTGCAGGATTTTGAGATCAATATCCTCAATTGATATAACATAAATAGTAAATATATAGTAATAATAGTAAGCATAAATCATATACTTGTAACAAATAGGAATAAAAATAAAAATAAATAGCAAGCAAGTGTTATATACTTGTAACAATAGTAAATATAAACATTGAATAGTAAACATAAATATATAACTGATACATTCTCTTCGTAGAAATATATTTCCAGGCAACTGTTATTTTTGGCCCCCATTCTGTAACGGTCTCGAGATGGGAAAAATACATCAAGTAAAATTCACTAAATCGTAATCATCGAAAAGTCACCACCTCCCTGTCATAAACAACAACTATTACGTAATATTCAAACCGCAGAAGAGCCTAAAATGTCTTTTAAAAAAGAGTTTAAAAAAGTGGGAGGAGTTCGGTTCATCAAGTCCGTAACGATACCCTGTTTCATCGCTGGTCTGTTCCAAGGATCGGGAGGTATCGAGAGATACTTGGAAAAAAAAAAAAAAAAAAGAAAAGGAAAGAACAGATCCTTATAAATCTCCGGCGGAAGCATTCTAAGTGAGACGTTACTGTCGTTTTTCCCATGGGGAAGCCGGACTAAAATTTCAGAACCCTGGAAAAGGGTAAACGTTGCTCTTCGACCGAGCGTCTCGCTCCTCCTCCTTCGGGGTTATTTAGGGGCATTCTTTGAACGCCCACGAACCGCCACCACAAGATCGCAGAAGTTTTTGAAAGCTGGTGTTCCCAGACACCGTTAACACAACGTCAAATCGGGGAATGATTCTCTGTCTAGACTCTCCACTATCGAATGTATTTTAATTAAGTATCGTACGATCGACTATAATTAATGAGATTATGTTCTACCAATGAGGTTATGTATTCTAATTAAATATCGTACGATCGATTATCAAGGTTATATTCTACTAGTAAGATTATGTATTTTAATTAAGTATCTAATTAAGTATCGTACATTCAAGATTATGTTCTACTAGTGAGGTTTTATATACTAATTAAGTATCGTACGATCGACTATCGAGGTTATGTTGTACTAGTGAGGTTATGTATTCTAATTAAATATCGTACGATCGACTACCAAGGTTATGTTCTACTAGTGAGGTTTTGTATACTAATTAAGCAGCATACGATTGACTATCAATGCTATGTTCTATTAGTGAGGTTATGTATTCTAATTAAGTATCGTACGATCATGGTTGTGTTCTACTAGTGAGCTTATGTATTCTAATTAAGCAGCATACGATCGACTATCAAGGTTATATTCTATTACTGAGCTTGTGTATTCTAATTAAGCATCGTACGGTCGACTATCAATGTTATATTCTACTAGTGAGGTTATGTATTTTAATTAAGTATCTAATTAAGTATCGTACATTCAAGATTATGTTCTACTAGTGAGGTTTTATATACTAATTAAGTATCGTACGATCGACTATCGA